TGTAGGGAACGCTCAAGTGAGGGACGCCCGCGGTCTTTGCAGCGCTGATGGTGTGGTGGGTGAGGTGCCCAAGCCAGCCTCCCACTCGTGGCCCTTGCCCACGGTGGGGGCAGCTTCCTGTAAGAACTGGGGGGACCCTGTCAATCCTTTTTCTTGTGCCCGGAGGTGCTCTCAGGGCTCTCTGCTGCTGCTGCTGCTGCTGCTGCTGCTGCTGCTGCAATGTTTGTGTCCCTTCTCTTTTGCAGGAGTTACTCCTCTTTAATGAAGGCAGAGAACATGACCTCTAACCAGGTGAGTCCAACAGGCAGCCTCCTTCGGGCCCCTCCATTGACCACAGAGCCTTGCCCAACAGAATTCGAGGCAGCCGAGAGCGAGCGTCGTTCCCACTCCCCCCCCCCAACCAGGGCCCCTAGGGTAGTTCAGCTTTGGCTGGGGAGGGAAGGAGGGAGGGAGGGAGGAGCTGCTCCCGACCGCCCAGTCCAGGTCTGAGTGGCCGTTGGTCAGAGTTTCGGGACCCTTTCTTCCTTCTGTCCCCTGCCCCTTGGGGCTTTGCCTTCTGCTCTCAGTCAAGGTGGGCAGTGCTGGCCCATGGCAAAGGGGCTGCTCGGCTTCTCTCCCTAGTCGTAATTGCAAGCAGCGGCCTTGGTGGCTGACTTGTGAAAGTGGAAAAGAAGTAAAGAATAAGGAGTGTGATGAGATGCAAGGGAACCAGGTGGTGGCTTTTCTCCTTGTTCCATCAGAAGCTGAAGGAAGAGGATTCTATCATCCACTGGGCTGTTGTTGATGATTCTTGTAGGTGCTTTTGACTCCCAAGGGCCAGACAGAGGAATCACTAGGCCAAGCCAGGTCCATTTGGCTCCTCTGTGGCATACTAGCAACGGCCTCTCCACCCCAAGGTGGAAGAGCAGGGGGCCACGAGGGTGGCAGAAGCAGCAGCTGCTCCCGACCGCTCAGTCCAGGTCTGAGTGGCCATTGGTCAGAGTTTCGGGACCCTTTCTTCCTCACCTGGCTGCACAGGGACATCAGGCCTGCCTCTTCCGGGGTGGTGGTGGCCTCGGCAGCCGGTGCTTACTCCTCATGCCAAGGAAGCAAACTGGCCCACCCAGCACGCAGCTGGAGGGGGGGAGTATGCCTAGCTGGCAGGACTGGGTTATGTGGATGGTCTGGTGAGGCCCATTGCAGGAAGCATGTCAGGATCAGATTGTGGCCCCCTGGACTGGAAGCAGAGAAGGAGCAGCGTGGGGTTAAGCCGCCGTGGGAGCCCACCCCATCTCAGGGGAGGCGTTTAGTTTGCCCCTCCGTATACCCCAACCACTGTGGCTGTAAGAAGCCTTTGCCCTGCTTTTCAGTGAACCAACCCCTTAATGTCCTTCTCAAGAGGCCTTTTCTGGTTCCCTCCCTCAGGACGGCAACGACTCCGATGACTTCATGTAAGCCCGGGCGCTCGGCCGTCGGGAAGACAAAGAAAAAATCCAGCATCTTATTTTTTTGCTCTCGGTGCCCCCAAATAAGCCTGTGAACTTGGGAGTCTCTGTGCTTCTTTCCTTGCCGGCAGTGAGGATCCCCCGGGAGGCGGTGGGCCGGCCGTCTCCCCACAGAGGATTCCGGCCGCTGCTCAGAGGCGGCTGGCTCTGGTCACGGAGGGCGTTCGGAGGGATGCGTCTCCGGGGAAGTTGGGGCAGAGGCTGCAGAAGCACAGCCGTGCCTTCTGTTTCCCCAAAGAACTGATTTTACTTGGGCTGCTGACCCAAAGAGGTCATTTTCTGTCAGCCTGTGAGGGTGGGTGAGTGGGTTTTTAAAATGTATGAGATGAGAGGCCTGGTGTCGAGGGTGGTTGGGTAGCCTCTGTAAGCAGCTGCTCTGCCTCAGGCTGGGAGATCCCGGCCAGAGAGCAGCCTCCAGATGCCCCACCACCACCAAGGGAAGAAAGGTGTGGCTCCTGGCTGTGCTTTTTTTTTGGGGGGGGGGCTCCCTGTAGCTTCAGATATGGCCGGCAGCGGCGCCTCTCCAGTCTTTTCCGATTGCGGTCCTCATAGCAGCTCCACGGAACATTTCCCTTGGAATATTGCTCCACGTTTGTTCATCAACATCTTCTCAAAGAAAGAAAGAAAGAAAAAAAGAACTGGGCAGTTTCTCTCTTGGCATCTTCTGTTTCTTGCTTTGGGTCCTTCCGGCTTCTCAGCTGTTCCCTCTTGCCAGAAGGGCCGGGGTGGGGTGGGGATTCCTTTAGTTAACTGGGACATCCCTGCCACGGGCAGGCTGATGGTGGCTTGATGTACCTGGCTGTGGACGAGCAAAGGCTGGATTCCTGCTGGCATTGCCTGAAACATCCAAACCAGGGTGCTTAAAGTGTCTCTTCCTTTTTTTTTAATGAGGGGGAAAGGGCAGCCCCCTCCCCATGGTTGGCGAGGAGCCGGTGGGAAGCCCCTGGCTGCAGGAGCTGAGAACACTCCCTGTTTCCTCAGAAGAAGTCTCACCCTCGGGTGACTCAGGGGGTCACCCCTCTGCTGCTCCTGAGTCCCCAGGCGGTCCTAGCAAACTGTTTGGGGGCGGCCCTGAAGAGCATCCCCAGCCCCATCGGGGTCTGCCTTGGGAGGACCTGCCGTGCTCAGGCCAGGACTTCCCCTCTGGGTCTCCACACACACCCCCCTCGGGGCCAGTCTCGGAATGTCAGGATGAGCCACGCCTACGTGGATCCCAGGACGGCTGTTGGCCTGTGGGGGTGGTGTCGGCATGTTGGTCTCCAGCCGGAGAAAAATGCACACAAAAGCTGCTCCTGAGTCCCCAGGCGGTCCTAGCAAACTGTTTGGGGGCGGCCCTGAAGAGCATCCCCAGCCCCATCGGGGTCTGCCTTGGGAGGACCTGCCGTGCTCAGGCCAGGACTTCCCCTCTGGGTCTCCACACACACCCCCCTCGGGGCCAGTCTCGGAATGTCAGGATGAGCCACGCCAGCATTACGCGGACCCCAGGACGGCTGTTGGCCTGTGAGGGTGGTGTCGGCATGTCAGTCTCCAGCCGGAGAAAAATGCACACAAAAAACAGGATCCCCCATCCCTCACAGGGTTCACGAGATGATATGTGAGTAGAGGAAGCAGGCAGGAATCCCAAAAACCATCCTGGCCTCTTTTAGCTGCTGCTGCTGTTCTGTGCCCTCGGCTGGCCTCTGGCTCCTCTCTGAGGGGGTGACCTCCAAAGCCTCCCGTCCTCAACAGGACCAACGCCAGCCCCTGGACACAAGGACACATGGATTCAGCCAGTATGTGGGATCCAGGTCGAGTTAAATCCAGTTGGGATTTAAGTCGGTCTCGGGATTAAAGTAAATCCCCTGGATCTTGGTGTGACTCCATCTGGATTTGCACCCATGCCCTGGACCCAGATGCTCTCTGGAGGCAGCTTTGACTCTTTTTGTTTGTTTGTTTGTCTCCTTCAGAGCCCTTAGCACCACGTGTAGTACCTTTATGTAGCACCCCTACTCTTCAGGGTTGTTGTTTTTAAAAGACATAATAAAAGGGTGTCTCATAATAGGTCTCCTTGTGGGTCAGTTTTGGCCCAGAGTCGAGCACAAGCGGGTCCCTGTAAGATTGACGGGGCTTTGCCTGAGCCGCCCATCCGTCGGTGATCCTCTCAGGAAAGCAGGATGGAGCTCATGGTGATGGAGTAGCGCTGCCTGGGGCAGAAGGCACCCTCTCAGGGTTTCACGGACCCCTCTCTTTTCCTGAGGGTGAGAACGAGGAAGCCCTCCTCCTCCTCTTGCCTGGTGGAGACCTTTGCATTTTCCTCCCCCATTTTGGGGCCAGGTCGGCCTCTCCCTCTGCGAGTGGGAGCCACGAACGTTTTCCTCAAAGGGGTTCCTCCTCCACGCTCCCCGGGGGCCGATTCCTAGGGACCGGGAGCACGTTGTGGGCTTTGGATGCGCCTGCCCATCCCTCCCCTCTCCTCCGGAGCTAGAAGTGGTTTGCTTCCTAGGGTGGCTGGCCTTCACGAGGACACCCCAGCAGCCCCATCCCCTTGGCCACTTTCCCTGGGGCTGCCGTCACAATGTGCCTGCAATTGAGCACGTATAACCTTTTGGGGGGCTGTGGCAAAGGAGCAGAGTGGGAAGGGGGCTATCACATGCGTGGGGCAAGGGGGCTGTCGAGGAGAGAAGGCGAGGAGAGAGCCCCCGCGGGCTTCCCTGAGCTGGCTGCCCAGGCACAGAACTCGAAAGGTAGGGCTGTGTGCAAGGACTCTTGGTGATCCCCGGTAATATGGAAACCTGCCAGCCTTTGCATTTGCGTCCCCGATGAGCCCCCCCACCCCACGGCAACCAGCTTCTTCCAAGCGTTAGCCATTTTCTGCTCCCGGGTCGGCACTTTGGAGACCCGTTTCAGAGGTGGGGCTCGGTGAGACCTTGCGAATCCATTGTAAAGTAAGCCGAATGAGGACATGGCTGGCTGTGACGGTGGCCATGATGGCGACAGGTGAGCAAACAGCCTTATTAAACCTGAGCTCCTTTGTGGGTCGAGTCTGTGCTCTTGGGCTCTGCTGGTCCTAGCATTCAGAGAATCCTAGAATAGCAGGGGTGGAAGGAGCCTCTAAGGCCACGGAGCCCAAACCCCCCTGCTGAGTGCAGGAACCCAAATCCATGGAAATTTCACAGAGAGTGGTCTGATTTTCTCTTCAATATCTCCAGCCTTGGAGAGCTCATTGCCTCCCAAGATCATGGTGTCCGCTGTCGTACTGCTCTAACGAAGTTTTTCCGGATAGCTAACCTAAATCTACTTTCCTGTAGTTGGTGCCCATTATGATGTGTCTTGCAGTCACATAATCGAGAACTGATCTTGCCCCTCCTCTGGAGGACAACCTTTCAAGTCTTTGAAAAATGCTATCCAATCTCCCTTCGGTCTTCTTTTCTCAAAGCTAAACATGACCAATTCTTTCAGCCTTTTGCCATAAGGCTTGGTTTCCATCCTGGTCACCCTCCTCTGAAAGTGTTCCAATTGGTCAGCATCCTTCTTGAAGTGTGGTGACCAGAACTGGACACAATATACGAGTACTCAAGGTGAGGCCTAACCAGGGCTGAATCGAGAGGGACGAGCCCCTCAAGGGAATTTGGGGACTATACCTACTGCTATCCAGAGAGAGAGAGATGGGGAACAGTCCTTCCTTTGATGGAGGATGCAGAAGGGGGCTGGCGGCTACTGCCATGCAAATGCCTGTGGCTGCCCCTGCTTATTTGTTCATGGCTTCCAGGCTCCTGCAGGTGTTGCTAAGTTGATTTGTGAGCTTTGAGGGGGAGAAAGCGACCCCTAAACCAGACTTGTCTGTTGCAAACTTTTAAAGGACAAATTCTTGTCCAAGGACTAGAGACACCGCAGCCTGAATGAATCCTGTTGCGCCTGCCTTCCGGTAACCGGATTGTCCTCTTGAGCTGTTTTGAATTCTGATCTCCTTGGGAGGGAGAAGGACATCGGCCGAATCCTGACGCACTGCCATCCTGATCTTTTGCAACTTCTGTTCCCACTTGTTGCCTCCAAGTGGGGGGTGGGATAGGTATCGCCAGATGCTGCCCACCCACTTGTAGAAGAGTTCCGGTCCTCCTTGCTGAAAACACGACAGATATTATTAATATGACTGAAAGCTGTTAGGTGTAGGTAATGCCTGTTTTTGATGCCCATGTGGGTCCGGTGGCAAGCGCCTCAAAGAGCTACAGCTGAGTCGGGACTCCTTCCCTCAGAAAGCACAGGGCAAAAGGGTTTTGATTGCCCTGGGCTTAGCTAGGTTGCCCTCCCAGGACCAGCGGCATGCCAGTGGGGACTGAATGAATGGGGGAGAGGGGGCTGCTGGCCGCAGGCCATCTCCCTTCCAGGAAAATACCCTGTGGGCATCGTCCAGCGCTTGTAAAGAACACCCGAGAAATGGAGAGCCGATGTGCCCGTGGGTGCTTGAGCCAGGAGGAGTCGCTGGCCACTGACATGGTTGCCAAGGACGGACCAGGAAGATCCAGAGGTGTCCTGTCTTAGTGCCGTTTCCTCCGTCCCCAAGGCCTACGGGTGGCTACCGCTGAGGACCCAGTGCTGACGGGGATGAGCCCCCACCCGCACGGCTGGTCTTGGCTGGCTCCGGGGAGGGGAGGGGTCCTTGCGTTCCAACACACGGAGCCTCTTTCTGCATGGAAGGGGTTCCGGTCAAGCCTCCCGGGGAGGCCACGTCTTTGTGCTCCATCCAGCCTCAGAGCTGGCTGGAGGTGGCTGGTCAGCTAGCTGGCCGGCCGATGAGGATGATGGAAACAGCTTCTCTGTTGAAGTGGCCGGCTTAGTCCCAGCCAGCCAGGCAGCTCCTAAGCTGTTACTCTGCTTCAACCTGCATGTTGTGAAATATTTCCTTTTCATTTGAGCTCCCAAGAAATTAAGAGGCACTGCGTAACTTAAAACACCCACCCACGCACATTTTATTTTGCAGAAATAAAGCACACAAAGATCACACCAAATGGATGTGATGTGACTTTGAACATAGCTTTGTTTTGCTTCATCCCCCGGTCATCTGTTTTCTTGAGATGCTAGATAAAGCCAAGGTCTTTTGCTTGGTTACTTTGAAATGAAATCATATTTTTTTGCAGTTAAGAGGAAGGCCAGCATTTTAAAAAGACAAGAAAAATCAGTGGCAGATACTGCTGTAAAGCTGGGAAGAAAAGGCACAGTGGACGGCCTTGCCGAAAAGCTCTGCTGAGGAGCAAACACCCAGATTGTAAGAGGGACCTATTTGCACACTGCTCTCCTAGAAAGTTATGCTGCTTCGTGCAATTTGTACTTCTTAAGCATCATTGATTTATTTTTAATTTTTTGGTCATTAGCTTCAAACAAAGCAAAATGATGAGAGTGTCAAGGTAAGAGGAATCAATAGTTTCTAAAGTAGCAGCTGTTATTCTTGGCGGCAGTCTCCAATTGGATTAACGATTGGACTAAAGTATACAAAATCTCCCAACTGTTTCGCGTTCTTCATTGTCAACAGTAAAGTTGAGCAGACATGATTTTTGTCGTCTTCATGTCCAGCTTCGATCCTGCAGAGGCACTTTCACTAAAAGTTGTATCAAGTAATTGCTGCTTTCTGTCAATAAGATGATGTCCTCTGCATGTCTCAGTTTCTTG